TGTAGCAACTTGCGCTTTGCGTAGCTGGGTGACAAGCGCTTGTCATGACGATGTGTATTTCAACTAAATCACAAGTGGATGGCAGAGGGAAATGACGTATAAGAGAGAAATGAGCGAAATTTGTTTATAAGGCTCAAATGAAATCATCCTTACATCAACAATGGACCCCAAAATTTGTACATTAAACATGAGATAACTAGGAAAAAAATAATTTAATTATTAACGTCAAATAAATATTGGACAATTGAACAAATTAAACAAATATTATAATATAGGACAAAACAAAACTGATTAAAGTATGCTATTTTGTCTTCAGTAGTGTCATCGTGGGACTCGGCGTGTCTCGGCGCCTCTCTCTCGGCGCGTCCCTCTCGGCGCGTCCCTCTCGGCGCGTCCCTCTCGGCGCGTCCCTCTCGGCGCGTCCCTCTCGGCGCGTCTCGGCGCTGTGGACTCCACCTCAACCTGTGAAAGTGAAGTGATGTGAATACGTCGACTGGGGGGTGTCAGTGATTTAGTGTTATAGCAAAAGGCAGTATTGCTGTCCTTCTAGAGTCAGTGAAAAAGCCAGTGCCCTCGGCAGTCTAGTTTCAGTGAAGCCAGTGCGGTTGGCAGTTATCAAGCAGTGCATCAAGATCAAGCTCCATCGTGGAAATATATCAAGACCTCAAAAATTGACAACGTGGAAGTGGGACCACTACAAACGCCACAGAGGAAGTCCGTTCAGGTAAGACAGTCTTCTTACACAGTGAATAAATATGTTGCATTTTACCGCCATAATTTAACTAGGGGTACGCGCCTTTTAGTTTGGGCGCGTAGTAGGCGAGCGATGCGTCTAAAACACATTCTTATAGGAGATGGCGAAGAATATGTGCAGAATAAGGCCAATACAGTGTCTTCCGTCACGAAAGGGCCGGAATTCATGTCATTTTCGTGATTATCTTACTGAAAACTGCATGAAACAATGGGAAACTCAACTTTGAAATTTTGGTCACAAATTGGTAAATTTTGGGAAAAGTAAAGGTCTGGGATGGAATTGGAAGTCATTTTCGTGATCAGCACACCAAAAACTGCAGGAAACTATGTAAAACTCGACTCAAAAATTTTGGTCCAAAATTGGTAAATATTTGGAAAAGTAAAGGTCTGAGATAAAATTTGGAAGTCATTTTCGTGATCAGCACACCTAAAACTGCAGGAAACTATGTAAAACTCGACTCAAAAATTTTGGTCCAAAATTGGTAAATATTTGGAAAAGTAAAGGTCTGAGATGAAATTGGAAGTCATTTTCGTGATCAGCACACCAAAAACTGCAGGAAACTATGTATATCTCGACTCAAAAATTTTGGTCCGAAATTGGTAAATATTTGGAAAAGTAAAGGTCTGGGATGAAATTGGAAGTCATTTTCGTGATCAGCACACCCAAAACTGCAGGAAACTATGTAAAACTCGACTTCAAAATTTTGGTCAGAAATTGGAAAATTTTTGGGAAAAGTAAATGGTCTGGGATGAAATTGGAAGTCATTTACGCAATTTCTAAGTGTGTTTCCTGTTCATTGTGTCGTAACATGAACCCTGACACTGTTACTCAGTCGAGTAACATTCAACAGCCAGCATTGAATTATTTAATACGATTCACAAATGCTTCAATTACCATTCGATATCCCCTTGTTATTGAACTCATGAATACACAATGTTATAAGTAATACCTAAAAGCCTTTTATCCCCCTTTTTATTTTAAACTAGTGGATAAAAACTACTTTGATTTATCTCAATTAATTAAAAAGAGACACATTTACGGGCAGGCTGTTTGCAACTATTTTACGGAGAAGACCTTCTGTCAGATCCAATGAATCGTTCCATTGAATTCAATGTCGAGCCCACTTATTGCAAAACGCAAGTTAATCTTATTCATAATGATAGTCATGATGTGATATTTAATCTTTAAAACAGTATAGCATAAGTTTTTACCTAACATTCTGAATAAATTAAAAAGACAGCCAACTCAAACCATGACTCACACAAATTACCAGTTGTCGCAGACAATGAAAGATGAAGTTAAAAGAATCGTCTCATGAAATCATTGACCAAGTCACTGAATCGTCTCATTGAATCAGATGTCAATGTCAAACCATGTATGCGCTAATCTCACTCACCATATAGTTATCTTTAAGGTTAGTACTATAGTAAACTTACAGCATTGCAATGAAGTTTTTCCCCAGAGTCAGTGCCAAGAGTCAGTAAAGACTATTTATTTTGGCAAGATTAGTGTCTGGTTTGTACTTTTAGATTGTATTGATCTATTTTCTAACTGTTTGAGCAAAGCAAAAAACTAAAAAGTATAATGTCTGAGAATAAAAATGGAAATACACTCTCAAAATTTAAAAAAGACCAAATCATTCTTGCAATTATCAAACGATCAAACACACTCCACTGACTAAAACATTTCCCCTGTGGCGGGGGAGGGGGGGGGGCGGACGGACGGACGAAACGCGTAATAATTGTCACTTTCATTTTCCGTATTTCACTGTGTTGACACTCCGGAGGGGTTTCAATCATTCTAGAATATCGAAAAACTAAGACCGAACTCACTTCTAAGCCCTTCTCCTCTCTATTTTGTTTTATTTGCCAATGTTTTGCCAGTCCCGTATTTGAGAGCCGCGGCCGCAAGTATGAAAAATTGCTATATATCTGCCAACCTAACCAGCTAAGAACCTAATTAAAAAAGATTTTTTGAATATTTCAAACGGTAGTAATCGTGAAAAAAGATAAACTCCCCCTGTGGGACCTTTAGGGGACGTTCGGTGCAAAATTTGGTAACTATTCGTGTTGTAGTTGCTGAGAAACGTGAGCGTGTACGCTACAGACAGACGCACGACCAGTCACTTTTTGGAGCGCCCAAACACGGCAAGGGCTCGCTATCGCTCCCCAAATTTAAAAATTTGGAAGTAGGTTGCATATCATTTTAGTTTTAAAAAAAAATAGCTTCTTTAAAAATTTTGTGTTAAACTTTTACCGCTGCTATGTATTTGGCGACGGCACTGACCCTTTCGAAAAGTGGCCCCGTGAGAAAAAAAAACTACTAGGGGTACGCGCCTTTTTAGTTTGGGCGCGTGTAGGCGAGCGATGCGTCTGAAAACTTTCTTATAGGAGATGGCGAAAAATTTGGGGCAAAAATAAGGCCAATACAGTGTCTTCCGTCACGAAAGGGCCGGAATTCATGTCATTCTCGTGATTATCTTACTGAAAACTGCAGGAAACAATGGGAAACTCAATTTGAAATTTTGGTCACAAATTGGAAAAATTTTGGGAAAAGTAAAGGTCTGGGATGAAATTGGAAGTCTTTTTCGTGATCAGCACACCAAAAACTGCAGGAAACTATGTAAAACTCGACTCAAAAATTTTGGTCCAAAATTGGTAAATTTTTGGGGAAAAGTAAAGGTCTGAGATAAAATTTGGAAGTCTTTTTCGTGATCAGCACACCAAAAACTGCAGGAAATATGAAAAAACTCGACTAAAAAATTTTGGTCCAAAATTGGTAAATATTTGGAAAAGTAAAGGTCTGAGATGAAATTGGAAGTCATTTTCGTGATCAGCACACCAAAAACTGCAGGAAACTATGTAAACTCGACTCAAAAATTTTGGTCCAAAATTTGGGTAAATATTTGGAAAAGTAAAGGTCTGGGATGAAATTGGAAGTCATTTTCGTGATCAGCACACCCAAAATGCAGGAAACTATGTAGAACACGACTTCAAAATTTTGGTCAGAAATTGGTAAATTTTGGGAAAAGTAATGGTCTGGGATGAAATTGGAAGTCATTTTCGCAATTTCTAAGTGTTTTTCCCTGTTCATTGTGTCGTAACATGAACCCTGACACTGTTACTCAGTCGAGTAACATTCAACAGCCAGCATTGAATTACTTAATACGATTCACAAATGCTTCAATTCCATTCGATATCTCCTTGTTATTGAACTTATGAATACACAATGTTATAAGTAATACCTAAAAACCCTTTTTATCCCCCTTTTTATTTTAAACTAGTGGATAAAACTACATTGTTTTATCTCAATTAATTAAAAGGGACACATTTACAGGCAGGCTGATTGCAACTACTTTACGGAGAAGACCTTCTTTTAGATCCAATGAATCGTTCCTTTTAATTCAATGTCGAGCCCACTTATTGCTAAACGCAAGTTAATCTTATTCATAAGATAGTCATATTTAATCTTTAAAACAGTATAGCATAAGTATTTCCCTAACATTCTGAATAAATTAAAAAGACAGCCAACTCAAACCATGACTGACACAAATTACCAGTTGTCGCAGACAATGTATGATAAATTTTAAAAGAATCGTCTCATGAAATCATATGCCCAAGTCACTGAATCGTCTCATTGAATCAGATGTCAAAGTCAAACCATGTATGCGCTACTCTCACTCACCATATAGTTATCTTTAAGGTTGGGTTAACTATAGTAAACTTACAGCATTGCTATGAAGCCTTTCCCCAGAGTCAGTGCCAAGAGTCAGCAAAGACTATTTTTTTTGGCAAGTTTAGTGTCTGGTTTGTACTTTTAGATTGCATTGATCTATTTTCTAACTGTTATTGAGCAAAGCAAACAACTAAAAAGTATAATGTCTGAGAATAAAAATGGAAATACACTCTCAAAACTTAAAAAGACCAAATCATTCTTGAAATTATCAAACGATAAAACACACTCCACTGACTAAAACATTTCCCCTGTGGCGGGGGAGGGGAGGGGGCGGACGGAGGACGAAACGCGTAATAATTGTCACTTTCATTTTCCGTATTTCACTGTGTTGACACTCCGGAGGGGTTTCAATCATTCTAGAATATCGAAAAACAAAGACCGAACTCACTTCTAAGCCCTTCTCCTCTCTATTTTTTTTTATTTGCCAATGTTTTGCCAGCCCCGTATTTGAGAGCCGCGGCCGCAAGTATGAAAAATTGCTATATATGCCCAACCTAACCCCCCGCTAAGAACCTAATTCAAAAAGATGTTTTGAATATTTCAAACGGTAGTAATCGTGAATATAAGAAAAAATCCCCTGTGGGACCTTTAGGGGATGTTCGGTGAAAAATTTGGAAACTATTAGTGTTGTAGTTGCTGAGAAACGTGAGCGTGTACGTACAGACAGACAGACAGACAGACGCACGACCAGTCATTTTTTGGAGCCCCCAAAAACACGGCAAGGGCTCGCTATCGCTCGCCAACTATTCCCCGGTATTTCCCCAAAGCTTATGTCTTTAAAAAAAAATCTCATTAAAACGAACTTTAATGAAAGCAGATGGTACTCGTTTGGTTTTCTTCCACGGGGTAGTATGGGCTCATTCCAAAGATAGTATTTAAAATTGTGTATAGAACAAAATACATAGACCAATTAAATACAGCGAGCGGGCCGGTGTTGGTACTAGCACTTCACGCGGACAACACGACTGACAATAACAGATGCATAATTACCTTCAGCTGCTCTTCTTCATGTATTTCTTGAACTTGTAATTTTCCTTGGATCTCTTACGAGCTTTATCTCGTCTTGAGAGAGAGGGAGCAGTTTCCGAATGGTCTGACTTCATAACTGTGGGAGGGGGGCCAGGGTCGTCGTTCTTCCTCATAAACTTCTTAAACTGCGCATTTCGTTTGGATCGCAGTTTAGCCTTCTGCCGCCGGCTTAAAGTACTGGGCTGAGCAGAAGGTGGAGAAGGTGAAGGTGGAGAAGCTGAAGGTGGAGAAGCGGAAGGTGGAGAAGGGGAAGGTGGAGAAGGGGAAGGTGGAGAAGGGGAAGGTGGAGAAGGGGAAGGTGGAGAAGTTGAAGGTGGGGAAGGTTGAGAATGTGAGTGAGGTGGGGAATGTGGGGGAGGTGGAGAAGGAGAGGTGTGTGAATCGATCTTAAGGCGTTTATGACAAGAAGCACCGTAGCTGAACATAAGTAGCCTTTGTACGCCAGGGTTAACTGTAGGAGAAGAAGGGGCTGCAGGAGAAGAAGGGGCTGTAGGAGAAGAAGGGGTTGTAGGAGGTGAAGGGGCAGAATTAGAAAGGGGAGAAAAGCCGAAAGGGTAAGACATGGGTGAGGGGTAAGGTGAGGAGTAGATTTCTGGTGAGGGATGAGGAGACATGAGGAAGGGGTCAGGAAGGGTGGGAGAGTTTGGGGGGAGAGGATGTGGGGGAAAGGTGAGGAGTAGTTGGGACGAGGTGACATGAGCAAGGGGTCAGGAAGGGTGGCAGGAGAGGATGGGGGAGGGTTGGGTTGAAAAGGAGGAAGGGTAGGAGAGCTTGGGGGAGAGGAGTGTGGGGGGAAAGGTGAGGAGTAGTTGGGACGAGGTGACATGAGCAAGGGGTCAGGAAGGGTGGCAGGAGAGGATGGGGGAGGGTTGGGTTGAAAAGGAGGAAGGGTAGGAGAGCTTGGGGGAGAGGAGGGTGGGGAAATGAAGGTTTGAGGGACTTCCTCCAGGTCTCCATCCAAATCGAAAGGCCTGAAAAAAAAAGGAAAACTTTACTCTGCAATCTTAAAATTGCAAGAAAAAGCAGCTTTATTATTATTATTTTAACGTTAAATTGTTTTTAGTTTACTGGGCTAACTAAGGGAGCCGCGAGAGAGAGAGAATGAGAGAGAGAGAGAGAGAGTTTATAAAAATGTTTTATTGGGGGGATTTGAATTAACAATCATTGGGATGATGTAGGACTAGAGTCAATTTTGGGACAATGAGCATGCTGTTTTTATGCTTCTTTAGTTTTGATGTAAGTGGTGAATGCCGTTTTTACATTTTGTTTGATAACTTTTAACACAATTTTTTTTTATTGAAAGTAATTTTACATTAGAAAAAGAAAGGAGAAATAATTAGATTGAATTGACACCATTTTAAGAAATGTAGAAACAAAAATAGGAGAAATTTAAGTTGAAACAAAAAGAGCAAGAAGAAATTATATTTAGTTATTGTTTTAGATTTTGAGTTGCTTTGAAAAGGATATGATGAAGAATGTGGTAGATTGAGCGCCTAGCAGGTACACTCTACCAAAAATGTCCTGTAAATGCCGTTAATTTATTACCAGTTTTCACTGTATGTCAATTCACAGCGTTTACTGTGATCTGCTCACGGGATTCACTGTGATCTTGTTCGCGGTGTTCACTGTGATCTGGTCCCCAGTAAACACTGTGAGTTTGACGCCGCTGAGCACCGAAGTACTGCAAATCAGGCTCCAATTCACGGCGTTTACTGTGGCCAGATCACAGTGAACACTGTAACCGAGATCACAGTGAACGCCGTGAACTAGTTCACAGCAAACGCCGTGAATTGCATAACAGCAAACATTGGTAATAAATTAACGGCGTTGACAGGACATTTTTTGTAGAGTGTAGGCCTCCTGGTCTTCTTCAGCGCGTGGCGGTGGAGAGAGAGAGAGAGAGAGAGAGAGAGAGAGAGAAAGAGAGAGAGAGAGAGAGAGAGAGAGAGAGAGAGAGAGAGAGAGAGAGAGAGAGAGGGAGTCAAATCAGGAGGCTGCAGTCGAGGAGTGACAAAGGACATCTTTCGTAGGGATCCTCACTTTGCCGAGCGCGTTGCACTAGAATCGCACGGACTGGCTAGGCGAGCAGGCCGGTTGGCAGCCTGAGCAGCAGAATGCGTTAAGCGCAGTGAAACGACTAGATGACGGCCTCGTTAGCCGGGACGACGCGTCTACGTATGCTACCGACTGTTTTACACTCGATCAGTCTCGCGTGGAGGAGCAGGGGGGCACTGTAATTCTTAATTTTCTTAGCCGCGACGGCCGATGGGACAGATCGCGAAAGAAGTGGTACCAGTGACAAAATGAAATCAGAAAATATCTAAACCCTACTGCGTAAAAATGGGTCGAGTTACACACTAAATTACTATGTCCTTTTTGGCCCGCCCTTCTATTCAAAAAATAGGGGGAGGGCCTATGCATTTGCCTTTGTGTCTGTGTGTTGTTGTTGTTGTTGTAGTTGTTGTTGTTGTTGTTGTTGGCGTCTGTGTACAAGGAAGGAGTTGAGCTAGAGTAACCAGATTTGGAGGGTACTTCAGGAGTACCGTCCAAACAAATAATCCGGTGGTGCAAATCCCGTCCGGGTCGCACAAGGGCTGCTGCAGGTGCATCATGGTTTACGTGAGCGGGAGGGGGATTTCCGCCATTATTGGTGCTAGCAGGGCACATAGGGGTATTTTTGGAATCGGGGCGACGAGACAAGATGAATGGACCTGGTCCCGACCCCATCGGCCGCTTTTACGAGTTGGCCAGATCAGGATCTTCAAAAAAAGGGGTCGACCGACTAAAAAAAATTATTGCAGATTTCGATTGGTCTCAGCAAGACCTTTTCAACGAGGGGTCGGAAAGGGGGTCCAGGAGCCCGACTTCGTCTATTAGTCACATCAGAATCTTGAAAAAAGGGGGTCGACCGACTGAAAATTTTTACTTAAGTTTTGGATAGGTCTTGGCAAGACCTCTTCAACGAGGGGTCGGAAGGGGGGTCCAGGAGCCCGGCTTCATGAGTTATGGGGAAAAGTGCGACGGACTCGTTTTGCGCTCCTGCTGTGCCTCTATTGCAAGGAGTTGCAGTAGCATGGCAAATATGGGTATTTTCGGAATGAGGGCGAAGAGACAAATGTAATGGGCATATTCTAAGGACAGTTGGAGTAAAAAGTGTAAGGACTATTGCATATTGTGAATAGAAGGGCGGGCCTAAGTCACGATGGTACATCGATAACTGTGCTTTACCCGCTCACGGGGTGTGTGATGCGAGCGGGCCGAAGGCCCGGGCCTTCGACTGGCCAAGTTGGGTCTGATGCGAGGGCCGAAGGCCCGAGAAAAGGCCGCCGGCAGGCCAAGCTGGGCCGGCCCCCTGTCGAACCGAGTTGCCGGCGCAGCGAAGCGGAGCTGGCAACTCGGTTCGACGGAAGGGCGGGCCCTAGCTTGTTGTGCATAAGCTTCGCACAAAATTGAGCATGCGTTTTGAAATGCACGAATTTGTGCGTAACTAAGCACGAAAGTGTGCGTAGTTGCGCATAAAATTTGTTCATATCGAAAAGCATGCCCAATTTTGTTCAAAGTTTATGAACAAAAAAGTACATAGAAATTAAGTTCGTAACATCGAAACTTACTCAGGGCGGATGAGGTCGTCGTGGAACGCCTCCAAGACATGAAGGCTGTCCCGCAGCCTCCACGACGCCAGGTTGAGGAATGACCGCACGTTCTTCTCTTTGGAGAGGACCTCCCTCGCGTCCCGGATGTCCCGGTCTAGCTCCAGGTCCCGACCGTTGAACGGTTTCTCTCCTGCCTTCCTCTTCTTTCCCTTCCTCCTCTTCTTCCCAGTGACCTGCGTCGTGTGAAAGTCCAGATAGCTTTCCTGCTCCATAGTCCGAATCGCTTCTGTAAAGTTAAGAAAAGAAAAAGACTTAAAGAACGCACACTCAAATTTTTATGAGAGAAAAGGGAATAATATTGCTTACCATAGAAATTCCAAAAACTCGGATGCCCATTGTTGTTCAGTCTTGTATTAAATTTTCTATGGAGTGACTCCTCGCCGCTCGTCGTGTAACGTCGAAGAACTTGAGAAGCACATTTAATACGAGAGATGTATTTTTGGCAGTTGTCTCTCCGTGGTTCTTCTGAGGGTTCAGAGCTGGGGAAAAAGGCTGCCTGGGGCTTTCCTTGACTTTCGGTGTCCTTCTGAATCTCTCAAGAACTCTGTTCCGAATTCAACAAATGTTCGCATTATTTTAGTGGAGGCGATATTTACTTCGACCTCTCCCTAGAAAGACATCTCTACTCGCCCGGGCGCTTGGAGACCATCCGAATGCGCCGGGGCTCTTGAAAACCATCCTAACTTGACCAGGCGCCAGGGGAATATCTTAACACAAATCCTCTCTACAGGATAGTCCCCCAGCACCCGGGCGGGTTAGGATAGTATTCTAGCGCCCCGGCGAATTCGGATGGTCTCCTAGCGCCCGGGCGGGTACACTGTTACTCAAACTGCGATAACCACTGTCTATGTTTTGCAATAAAAAACTTGTCACATTTGTTTGCTTTGATGACAACTAAAAATCTGCAATAATAAATTTATAGCTAAATTTTGCAATAAAGTATCACTTTTTTGCGATAATGACTGGGAAGAAAATGCAATAAAAAGTTATCGCAGAAAAAAATGTGATAGAAGTTACTACAAAACGCTCTTTAATCGCAAACATTATGGGGCGGTTATTTAAAAAAAAAATGCAATAACAATATTTTTGCATCGTGGGAATCGAAAACTCGGTTTTATAGCAAAAATTGGTTGTTTCCTTAAGAGGGGTGACTTGTTGTCTGCAGAGATGAAACCAAAAACGAATCAATACCAGGGCCGTCACGGTAACAGTTTGCACTTATGACTAAAAATTGAAAACTGTGGCAGCTGGAACCAGGGGAAAAGCTTTTCCTTCAAGGCGTACCGGACTTCCCTATCCTGATGAATCCAAGCCGCATATTTGGTATGGTTTTTTTTTCAATCAATTTTGAATAAATCCCATGCAAATCTGTGCCAGCCCCAAACATGCTTCTAGAGCCGTTTTCCAGCGTAGGTTTTCCCCCGAAAGAGCAATCTACAATGTGCTAGACACTGATTTTCCGAATGTAATAATGAACTCATTTAAAAAGCAACAACATGTTTATTGCATTAGTAGCGCCATGAAAAAGTTATTGCATTAAAAGTGCAATAATTATTGTATTGCATTAGCGCATTTATCGCATTATTTGTGTAGTTATCATTTTATCACGCCGAAACTGTGATAATCTGGGCCCAGACCGGCCAAAACCTAAGGGACTTATTGCAATTTTAGTGCGATAATTTTTTATGGCTGCCACAGATGCGATAATTTGAGGGAATCACACTAGCCTTTTTACCGCAGCAAATTGTATGAAAGTTATCACAGTGGATTCCTGTTCCGGTTAAGTTACACCCTCAATGCATTTTCGACCTCTCAGTTTTCTAGTCACAGAAGGAATCCATTCAAAATCGTCACCATTTTCTATGAAAGATGTGCCAGTTTGCGTGTCGAAAAAACTTACGGAACTCTATGATTAGTAGAAATGAACGGTGTATTAATACAGTGCATTAAGTAATTGTGCAGAGCTCAAACTTGTCTGGAATTACGTCTCCTTTATGAATCATTCTGCTTTTCTGTATTGCAGATGGAGCTAGTTACTGTAGTGTTGGCACTAGCCGCATTGGCGATCGCAACACATTTTTACAATAAAAGACGAAAGTGGGTGCAATCCGTGGACCTGATTCCTGGCCCTTCAGCTTTGCCGATTATAGGCAACTCGTGGGAGATGTTATGGACGTTCCAAGCTGGTGAGCCCGTTAGATGTCAACCAAGAGAAAAAAAAGTTGAATTTCAGTGTGGATTTTTCTGCATTCCACTCGAATTTTGGATGAATTCACTGTTATTTCACCTGCGATACAGACCGCACTTTCTGCGCA